TATCGTATAACACATAAGTATGCATTGAATACCTTTATATTGTTGTCATAAATGTCAACGATATAATAAAGTTTTGTTATAATATTATATTAAAAAGACACTAAAATCTGAGTTAGAAATGATTTCTTAATGATAAGTATTAGTGTTATTGTAGTAAAACATTATGCTGTATTTGCATTTCAAATATAAACGCATTATGTTTAGTCAACTTACTAATTACCAACGAATGTACAAACATGTGACATTTCACGAATTTTCATTACGCAATACATACAGTAACAGTAACATGTACAATTACTTAGCTCTGTCATTAAGCTAATAAGAGAAGTATAAATTCTCCTTGATAAATTTGTCCAGTTCTGAAAGTAATATGTTCTATGATACACGAAATATAAACGAATGCACTCAAGACAGAGAAAGAGCTACCTGGTCAACTTTGAGTATTTCACAGATGAAATTAGTAATCATCGAGGTCAACATCATCAAGAGGCTCATCAGCCTGCAGTGACTGGAAATCAACTTTGTAGCGGAGGATTCCTATGCATCAAGATATACTCCATAATTAATATTAATGTTTCCAACCTTTTCTCAATACCATTTACTTTTCAATATTATATGAACTCATATAACATTTGATTAAACCTTTCTTGTTACTTTTTAATACCACACTTTTATTTAGATTTCACTCAAAATATTTTAAGTTTAAGAAAGTAGTTTACGATAATCCCTAATTCTGAATTACATTTCACGAGATGTTAAAACATTTGTATATACAATCACTAAATTACACACGTTTAGTGAATAGTTAGTTAACGTGGAATCTGCCAGCTTTCTGTTAGTACACACATTGAATAGACGAATACAAATTATTGTTTTACATGTATGTTACTTTCAGTACAGTTAAAGTTAATAACAATATGTAACGAATAAAATTGTAAAATTACCTCCAATGCCGCCAAAACCTCTTACAAATTGGGAACCTTCTTGAGATTTGTCCGTAATGATTTCCAAGGTGGCGCCGAAGCTCTTGTAATTGTTTGCAAGCCATTCGAGCAGAGGTTGACACTCTACGAGTTCCAATTCTACCCCGCTCTAGGTGAGACACAGAATATTCAATAAACACGTATTGTTAAATATATCAATATGATTATTGTTAAAAAGAATATTTTATTTAATTATTGATTAATTACAAGTGTATGAACTTATATTTCTAACCTACCTCTTTATCAGTGAAGTGAGTTTTGTCTTTTTCTTGTTCTGGTGTTAGGTGTGAAACTTTCTCTTCTGCGTTTGTATGATTTTTTAAAACATATCGCTGAATATCTAAGTTCTCCCAACAAATGAGGGTCTCTACACTACCTAATTCAAGTGCTCTTAATGTATCTTCTACGCCAAAGCAATATTTTCCCGTGTCCTGCGAGATTTCGTCGAAATAACGTCCTAAATAAAATAAAATGTATTATTATTATTTGAAAGAAGCTACTACGTATTGTTTATTAAAGTAAATATATAGTTACCAATTAATTTTTTTTCTTGAATGAATTTTACATTTTGTAAGGATTCTGCAGCTAATTCAATAGCCTGATTAAAACCGTTCTCCCCACCATATGAAACATCTACTAATTTTATAACTTTTGCTTGCAACCTCTAGAAAATTAAATACATAATTAGATCTGATTTACATTAAAATTGTATATTATTGTGACTGTATAAACTTACTGGATCGAACATATCGGATTGACTAAGTTCTGTTTTGAAATCAGCACTACCCGCTAAAATTAAACCGGCAATATTAGGTTTATCATTACTAATATAGAGTTGAGTGGCTACTTCTGCAACTTTTCGAACATAGTTGTGCCGTTTTTCCATACGTAATCGAGCGAAACGGAGCGCTGATTGACCACCTCTGCCTAAAATTGAAATTGATAAATTATTGATTATTATATATTAATAAAAGCAATATCTGTTATATTTTATGGATATTTTACTAATTATTTATGTACCATGCTTTTTTGGAAGATCTACAGTAAATTTATGTAGTACTTCGCGAGTATTTCCTTGTAAAGTGCCAAACAGTGCTCCATTACCATCCATTACTATGAAACCAAATTTGTTATCATCCGCAAGCAATGCTGTAAGAGCTTCAGTATGAAACTGAAAAGTAATAAAATATGTATTAAAATTGATTTTGTTGCTTTTAGTAACTACAAAAATATGTATAGAAAACAGAAAGTACCTTATTATCACAAAGGTAAAGAGAAGTATTAATAGGCTTAAAAGGTTCAAAATCAATGTTGACCTTCTTTTCTTTTCCTTCTTCTGTTACAATAGTACCACAATATATAACCAAGCCATTGGGAGGCACTAGAATGAATAATAAACAGTTTATGTAACTAAAGAGCATAATATAATTACCGCGCAACTATATGCATATGTTTAGTATACAAAAGAGTATACGTAATTTCTGCTTAGCAACTAAATAAACACTTATCATAAAATATAATTAAAAACAACTCTAATAATAAAATCAATATAATTACCTTTTGTATATAATTTTAACCTATGTTGGACTGAAGTGATTGCACCCAGAACAGACAATCTATTTACACGAGACTTAATATTTGATGCTGTTCCAAACTCATCTGCTAACATTTTGCTAACTCTTGATATTTGGTCTTTTGGTGGGATGATCAATGAAATCATACTCGTCCCATTCCTGCAAACGAAGATATTTCTCCCCAATGAATGATAGTTACAATAGACAATACTCTATATTACGTAATGATCAATTACAAGATAATAATACCATAAGGAGATTTCCAAAATTCTAGAAATTTTATTTTGCTATTTAATCTACATGCATAGATGAAATGTATGTGTGCAAATGATATACGTGTTAGATAAGGGCATTGGACATATTTTTTACCTGATTTAAGACTTAATGATAATACATATTCCAAGAAATAAAAAATCACTATGTTCCAAACATTTTCAATATTTGATCAACTTATACAACGCAGCAAATCAATCGAAAGCATACTCCACAAAAATTTTATGAAAATGATCGTTACAAATTTTAGTTTCGTTTTAAAGAAATCTGAACAAACAAGAAAATTACAGTGAAATTTCAATTTTGGAAACATTCTTTGTGTATTATAGGTGAATCTGCTTATATAAGATTATATTAGTAATAAAGCAGCAAAGAACTTTTTTTTAAAATGTGTGTGTGTGTGTGATAAAAAATTCAATGATCAATTACAAAACAAGTGCAGACATGTTTGTTAAAAGATCACAAAATTCATAGACATTTTGTATTTTATGGGTTTACGTGAAATTTATTTATACAAGAAAAAGCGAGAAATCTGTTACTTTCCATTTACCACACCGACTTTAAAATATATGTGTGAATAGAAAATCGAACAGCTGATAACGAGGAGGCGCAGCAACGTAAATTTCGACCTACTTACCCTCTAGCCATTTCGAGACTTTTTATGAGTTTCTTGATTTTCCAGATTTCGACATTACGGTCGGCGGAAGTCTCCTCGTTGGACATTGCTGCGCGTTGTGTCGCGTGGTCGCGGTTTACAGGGTTCCTACTAAATTAATCCTTCACCACCGACGAGGGATGGAGTCTGTAAAGGTGGTTCGAATCGCAGCAGGAGTCCGAATTCACGAATTTTTCTCTGAAATGAATGATCAATCCATTTATCGATAGATCTGCTTCAATCCAGTTTATACCGGATTATGTCAGACAGAACGTGTTCGGAAAAGAATTCTGATTCTGCTTTAGAGTGAAACGAAACTCTTGAGCTCATTGCTTTTCACTCACTTTCGTATCAGCGATGTCGGTGTATGCCGCGATCGTTATGTTTTAAATGCAATAATTGTGACACAGCAGGTACCACGCGAATGCGAACCTCGGAATGCACACGTCGGCCATGCACAGCGAAACGTCAGTACTTCGGTGGACGTACTGTACTGTAGGGTACAAAATGGGAAGCAAAAAGACTGAAGAGTTGGTGCGCGAGCAGCGCCTCGAGGCCGCTTTTCGTATTGTACGAGCGCAGCCGCGTTTGCATTGGCTGTTCTGCCACACTTTGTTCATATGTACCATCTAATGCCTCGTTTGCAACAATTTTGAAATTCGCACATCTACCCGATTGTTTTCTAAATCGATTATAAATTCCTATTGTTGCACCTACTTAATTAACCCATTAACTTGGTTATGCACTCATACATATCACAAGAAAATTGAATTAATAAATAAAGCTAATTTATATAGAAACGTGATATTAAATAGGATGCATTACAATCATTTGAATAGATATTGTGTATGTAACACATATAATGCACTCAGGTTTTGTGCGATTTTTCTACCTCCCTTACATTTTGCAAGCATCCCTACTATTTCATTGCGCATCCAATCCTCAATAAGTACTCGTCTTGGTATTTAATCATCAGCCAATCAAAGAAAAGCAACTTCTACACCCATTCTCACTAACGGAACACGTTGCGGTCGGTAAGTTTTGCAAAATTTAAGGTATGTACCACTTCACCATGCTAAGCCCATGCGGGGGTAACCGGCTTAGAATTATGAAGCAGGTAGAGAAACTGCTTCTCCTCTGATTGGTTGACCTATCACAGCCAATGTGCCAGCCAGTGCTGCCCTCACAGTTTTCGACAAAGAGAGGAAGTTGCGAGTAAGCAAGAGAGCACGATATTAACACAACCACAAATGAAACAAGTCACATCGACGACCAATGTAACTTGTCTCGCTTTACCGTGCTTGCTGTCTCACTCTTNCCTTACATTTTGCAAGCATCCCTACTATTTCATTGCGCATCCAATCCTCAATAAGTACTCGTCTTGGTATTTAATCATCAGCCAATCAAAGAAAAGCAACTTCTACACCCATTCTCACTAACGGAACACGTTGCGGTCGGTAAGTTTTGCAAAATTTAAGGTATGTACCACTTCACCATGCTAAGCCCATGCGGGGGTAACCGGCTTAGAATTATGAAGCAGGTAGAGAAACTGCTTCTCCTCTGATTGGTTGACCTATCACAGCCAATGTGCCAGCCAGTGCTGCCCTCACAGTTTTCGACAAAGAGAGGAAGTTGCGAGTAAGCAAGAGAGCACGATATTAACACAACCACAAATGAAACAAGTCACATCGACGACCAATGTAACTTGTCTCGCTTTACCGTGCTTGCTGTCTCACTCTTTTCGCGCATCCGTATGCCTGCCGCTCCATTTGAAATACTCGGCGTGATATTCGATTTCTACTTTTCGCCCCTTAGAATTCTCAACCACACAGTCCAGCGTAATTGCAAACATTTTGAAACGGCAACCATTTCTATAATTATTAAAATTTTCGAAAACCCGTAAGCTATATTTTAGATGCAGTCAGTAACGAAACTGGGAATATAAGGAAATGGCTATGTTATTTATGGGTCTGGGTAATATAGAATGTTGTATTTTATTCGGCATGAACTTGACGCTCTGAAAAGGGCTGTTATTATTAAATAGAGGAGCTTGTGGAACACAGGAGGTTGTAAACCACCACTTCCTCTCTTTGACGAAAACTGTGAGGGCAGCACAGCTTAGCTGTGAAACGTCAACCAATCAGAGGAGAAGCAGTTTTTCTATCTGCTTCATAATATTAAGCCGGTTGCACCCGCATGGGCTTAGTATGGTGAAGTACTACTATAGTCTCTGTTCGCTAGGAGTTGGCAAACCCGAATGAGTTTCGGGATCCCGAAGTTCGGAGCGGGACGAAGAAATTCGAGCGGGATCGGGCGGGATCCCGATACATTTTACTGCTCGAGATTTCGAGATCCCGAGTGTTTCGGGACTGCGCTCTCGGGCGGTCTCAGCCGGTCTCGGCCAGTTATAGTCTCTATGCATGAACAGGATATGTAAGAATCTACAAGCGTCGCACGCGATCTGTTTGGGATTCAGTTGTCAACTACACATTGAAAATATAAAAAGAAAACGGAACAGTAATGATATAAATCTCTGATAATATTTGAAAATGATAATATAGAATAGTTCGCACGCACTCTTTGTCTTTACCCATATGTAAACTTTAAATAAGAAGGATATAAATAAAAAATAGAATCTCTGGAACGACATATGAAAAACATAGAACAATTCGATTTTTATTAAAGTTGATGCACGTCGAAACGTGCTCTTGTACCTGTAACTATGTTACCAGCTGTAGAAATTAAACGTTCGCTGGTTGTTTGGGTTGCAGGTATCACAAGTGTATGTATATTTTGTCACATTTTGTAAGAGTGGATACCTGTTGCCGTAACATTTCCACCATTCCATAATGTTACATATTCTTGATTCAGTTATTTCGGAAGAATACATTTGTATTTCCCGAGTATATTGCGAGAAGTGAAGGTATCATATCAGTTTCTTGTTTCGAATCCAAGTTTGAATAAAAGAACTGTATTATTTTTGATTTCTTCGGAGCTGAAGGATAAAAAATGTATTAAAAATTCATTAATCTAATTAATATAAGATAGAAAATTAACCATTACTGATATTAGTAATTTAAGAAGGTACCACTTTCATTACTGGAAATATTTTGTGAATCATTATTGTTGTTTTCTGAATTTAGATGCTGAATTTTGTTGTCCAATATTTTTAACGCATTACACTGCAATGACATAGCAAATGTAAATCAATTTTAATAAGAATCAAATTTTTCTATGTTTTTCATATGTCGTTCCAAAGATTGTATTTTTCATTTATATATCCTTCTTATTTAAAATTTACATGAGGACAAAAACGTACAAACTATTCTATATTATAATTTTCAAATATTATCGAATATCATGACTGTTGCGTTTTCTTTTTATATTTTCAGTGTGTAGATGACAACTGAATCCCGAACAGATCGCGTGCGACGCTTATACAGGGTGTCCCAAAAATGTCTCGCATTACGGAAATGTGAGGTAGCTGAGATCATTCTAAGTAACTTTTTCCTTTGCGAAAATGCAATCTGCGGCTTTGTTTACGAGTTATTAATGAAAAACACCGACCAATGAGAGGCAATGGCGCGAACCACAACGTGGTCGATCGATCGAATGCCATGTGCTCCTACCACTGAGTTTAACAGCTGAAGAGGAACTCTGTGCCGCGTTCAAATTAATGAACAAGTCACGAAAAATATCAACTTTTGATATTTTTTTTACCACGTGGCAGTGATAATTTTAAGAAAAACGCTGTTCATCTTTATTTCAGAATGTCTGAAGAATATTTACTAATTTTTCGGACCTGAAATAATAAGTATGACAGCCGTTTTAATTTTCTGGTGTGCATGACATGTACCATAAGATATTTATATACAAGGTGAAGATTAACAAAGTTCGTAAATGTTAATTTATTAAATTTTAATTTAAATAATTCCGCGTCCGAACACAATTCAACGAGCGATTCGCAAAGCTAATTTAATAAATAATAATCGTGTTAAAAGGACGTAAGAGATTTGTTTGATAGAGAAATATGAAGAATATTATCAATAAGAAACTCGGCCATTTAGTTGTAAATCCACTACATGGTCGGAAATGTGTGCTGGAGGATAGTGCATTGACCTCGTACAATGTATGATGAACTGCACAGCTGATCTGTATCCGACGGCGACGAACGGAAGGATGTTTCCAGGCAGGCTATTCCAACGGTCACTTTTACTACATTATCACTAAACACTGATCACATATCAATAATATCTGCGGACGAACTTTCCTGGGTTAATATGTATGGCCCCGAAAAGAGCCGATTTTTTAATGCGACGCGTTCAAAGTTCGTACCGTTAACAATACGCACCGCGTTGACACATTTCGTAATGTTTTCCTGAACCCTTTGCAGCATCCTTGGAGTAAACCAGTTGATCGTACCGTACAAGAATAATTAAGAAAATTCTCTCGCGACGTCCTTTTCATATTAATGCTCGGGACGAACTGCAGAATGGCCGACAATGTTCGCGGCCGATGAGAAACAGTTGAAACTCGCTCGTAGGAAAGCGAAACATTGTCGGCCATCGTACCAATCTGCTGCAGTTCGTACGCAGTACGTGTTGTTAATGATACGAACTTTGAACGCGCAGCATTAAAAAATTGGCTCTTTTCGGGGTAATACATATTAACCCAGGAAAGTTCGTCCGCAGATATTATTGATATGTGATCAGTGTTTAGTAGTAAAAGTGACCGTTGGAATAGCCTGCCTGGAAACATCCTTCCGTTCGTCGCCGTCGGATACAGATCAGCTGTGCAGTTCATCATACATTGTACGAGGTCAATGCATTATCCTCCAGCACACATTTCCGACCATGTAGTGGATTTATAGCTAAATGGGTGAGTTTCTTATTGATAATATTCTTCATATTTCTCTATCAAACAAATCTCTTACGTCCTTTTAACACGGTTATTATTTATTAAATTAGCTTTGCGAATCGCTCGTTGAATTGTGTTCGGACGCGGAATTATTTAAATTAAAATTTGATAAATTAACATTTACGAACTTTGTTAATCTTCACCTTGTATACAAATTTCATATGGTACATGTCATGCATACCAGAAAATTAAAACGGCTGTCATACTTATTATTTTCGGACCGAAAAATTAGTAAATATTCTTCAGACATTCTGAAATAAGGATGAACAGCGTTTTTCTTAAAATTGCCACTGCCACGTGGTAAAACAAAATATCGAAAGTTGATATTTTTCGTGACTTGTTCATTGATTTGAACGCGGTACAGAGTCCCCCTTCAGCTGTTAAACTCAGTGGTAGGAGCACATGGTACTCGATCAATCGACCACGTTGTGGTTCGCGCCATTGTCTCTCATTGGTCGGTGTTTTTCATTAATAACTCGTAAACAAAGCCGCAGATTGTATTTTCGCACAGGAAAAAGTTACTTAGTATGATCTCAGCTACCCCACATTTCCGTAATGCGAGACATTTTTGGGACACCTGTATATGTATTAATGTAACCAAATCACGTGCCAATATCTGTTATGGTTAAAATGTTATACAAAAATGACATTGTACTTCTCAATCTGTATCGCTGAAAAATGATAATTATTATAAATAATTATAAAAATATCTGTTTGCACGCCTGAGAGGTGTAATTAGCTTTTCGGTAATTTTTGTATGCGTTGATTACAAAAAGATGACTCGCTTTTATATTTCACATACATATAAAACACACATTTAGAAAGTAAAAAATAGTTCGTAAAATTAGATTTAAACAATTTTTTATCAAAAATATCAGTCCAAATTAATTAAAAATTATTGCTTAACAAATGCAAACAAATATTTAATTACCTAAAGTTAAGAATGATTATTTTTTAAATATTTTTAATGAAAATTTCATTGCTATACCTTCAATGGTTCAAAAGTTATAAGAAAATGTTACTGTATTTCTCGATCCGGAGAATATTTCTATTTGAATTGAGTTTCTTTCTCATTTCTAATAGAAAACACCGGTGGCTCCATCTCGTATTTATCAAACAGCTACATATCTCTAGATAATACCATTTATGTAACGAAATCTGTACAGTAGATACCGACTTGCTGAACTGTAAAGTCACGTGACTACCCTAGCCCTTAAGTTATCACACATTGAGTTAGAACAATTTTTTGAATATCTAATCCGGTTGAAATTTGGCAGCCATGAACGATACGCGAGCTCCAAGTTCCTTATATATTTATTTATTCAAAAATTCATTGTTTATTGATAAAATTGTCGCCCATGGAAAGTTGAGTAATTGGTTAGATGAATAGAGCAATTCTTTGGTAGGTCATACACCACATTTTATGCATTATTTCAAAAATATTGCATTATTAAAAGTCTCTAACCTCATAAAAGTCCCTAGGCGTCTCAAAAAGTTTTTTGAATATTTCTCATAAAGGATAAATGAGCAATTAAAATTAATTAGTGAGAAATTATGGGCAATTAAAGAGCAATTTTTTGAGTTATGTTTCATTAATATTGGTTAATATGGTGAGCTAGCTTCACACGGGTTAACCACCTATACATACACATGTTGTACATGAGATCCAATTTTGTAGCTATATTCAGTTGAAGCTATACAGACATATGTTATACAGCACATATTTACCGTGCATACGTACCATGTATGTATGATTGTGTATGACGGAATTGGTTTTTAAAAAATGCCAGAGTTTCGAGTTTCACCTCTACAAGAATCCTCTATGGCGATAAAATAAGAAGTCATATTTTCGTAATTTATACCTTTATGATAGAAATATTCGTTGAAAATGGTTAGGAACTAGTATGATGGTTATTAAAGTTATTGGTGCATTATTATTATGAAATGTTGGCAAAACATTATATTTCATTTAATAGTGTATAACTCAAAAAACATTGTATAATTTCATTTAGCTTTTATGATAAAGTGAAAAATTATTTGTCATTTTCTATGATGAGGTCTCAAATTTACAAAAAGTATGTTTATTACTTAAAATCGAGTGGAATTTGTGTTGTTGTGATGGGGTTAGTTTTCCTATACATGAATACTATTTTAAAAGCATTTGATTCGTTTATTAATAATTGTATTTTATTTTTTGTAGAAGTTGTTGGTGTATGTATCAATTACGTCAGGTGTCACAAATTTTAAGGTCTACTGTACCTGCTAATGCTTTAAATCTAGAGCAAACACATGCTCAATATATTTATATTGACGACCCTCGTTATAAAGGCATTTATATACTTAATATTTTAAGATTATACGAATTTATTTAGTTTTCATTAGAGTTATAACTTTGTCACATATAAAAATCTATTTATTTAACTTATAATTTTAGATGTTTTTATGTTTCGGAAGACTGAAAATTTACAGTCAACTGTACCAGTGCAAACGCCTTCCTTTACTCATATCATAATGAAATGGTGGAAATCATTAACTCGTAATATAGCATATAAATTATTACACATGGCTCAACATGGAGACAAAGTAGAACGATTGAAAGCCGTATATATGATAAATTCTCTACAATATTTAAAAGGTATTTTTCTATAGTTGTTAAATAATAGCACAATTGTATTGAATATAGTTTGAGATTAAAAATAAAAATTACAGATTGGCATTATCGTCATATTGCGCAAATGTTAGATGCCAGAACAGCGGTATGTCTAGCAAGAATGCCAAATGTTGATTCAAGATTTTTTTTGAAGCCACCGTACTATCATATACAACATAAACTATATGTATGTATTATTTTAAATACACAGGTCATATCAAATAAAGTATTACAAGCTGTTTTCTTAAAATCCAATGTGACTTAAAATCCAATTGACTTCTTTAACTGTTTTATCAAAAAGGAGGTTTCTATAATCTTTTTATATTTGCTTAAATCATTCTTTTTGTTGTACATAATTACAAAATAATAAAAAAATGGAAATTGATTCTTTGACATCCTAAAGATTAGTCTATATTTTTATTGTGTTGTAAGAAAACAGCTTCTAATACTTTATTGAGCATGCCCTGTATGATAAAATTTTATTTACAAAGAAATATTTAACAAACATAATGTTATTAGGATATAATAGAAAAAGTACATTATTTGCTTCTTCATTTAAATACGTTATCAAAAAATACTCATCCATGCCTTATTCACTTTCTGAATAAAAAATTCAGAGACTCACAACGTGTAAGTATCTACTCCACAAAGATTTGACAGCCATAATGCAAATTATTTTCTGTACACCCTAATTATCTGTAAAGTATAAAACAAACAGGATGGTTTGATATTCGAACACGATTTAACAAGCTTAGGATTAGCTGTTTCTCCAGCTATAATATGGGATCAGGAATTATTGCAAAGTTGTGTTCAAGCATTATGTCACCATTCTTGCCTTGAACAATATAGTAAAGGTATAATGATTAAAAACAAAATTTACTACAGATATCTTTTGTTTTTTCATAATTTGTTTTTATTTTTAGATATTGTGGAAGCAGGAGGACTTCCAGTATTGATGATATTGAAGAAAATGTTTAATAACAATATTAACATGTGTATATTACTTGCAAAGATAATTTCTAACATTTCTCTTCATTCAGAATATTTAGAACAGATTTTCCAAGCAGGTAAATTAATTTCAATTGCGTTAATTTAAAAGTTAGTCACTATTTTAACACACTCCTATCTTTAGGATGGATTGGTACATTAGTAGAATGGTCTCGTAGCTCTGACATACGGTTGTCAGCTCCTGCAAGTCGTGCATTGGCAAATTTAGACATAGATGAAAAAGAAAATATTAAGTATCCAAGGCGTATTTATCTTCTTCATCCTTTACATAAAACTAAAACAAAAGCAAAATTAGATGTTGTTTTCCTTCATGGACTTCTTGGCGGTGTATTTATAACGTGGAGACAAAGAGATGAAGATACATCTGTGCATGGGGTTGTAGGTTTGTTAGTATTGCAATTAATGATAAAAATTTGTTCTGTGTTAATCACAGTGAAATGAATTACATTACAATACATTAATATTGTACTGCTTCCTGTGATAATGCTTAGTAAGATTCTACACCTATTATAGATTCCTATATGACGGATAGTGAAACAGATAACATGACAATTATGATAGGGGAACAATCGCAAGAATTTTTGAAAGACTTAGCATATGATTTGAGAAGACACGAGTGGGAAAAGCTGGGACAAGATTTTGAAATAATCTTAGATGATTTCCCTCAAAATACTAATCAGAATGCGTGTGGACCATATTCCTGTAGCGGGTAGAGATTTCTTATAGGTAAATCAATATATTTTTAAGTAAATATGTTAAAAATTCAATATTTTAGGGATAATGCTTGCATGAAAAAGTATGAATGCGATAGGAGGCATAGGACACAATGCTGGCCCAAGGATTGGTTACCCGAAGATGTCCCATATATCAGAGTGATTGGAGTAAATTATGATACAAATTTGTCTATGTGGACTCCTTTGTGCCCAATAGAAGGCATGAAGTAAGTTTGAAAAGTGTGGTAGTATTATATTAGTATTATATTAGATATTAACTTAAATAGGAGCACGTAAATGTCTTCATTATTTTTTGTTTCATGGAAGAAATACTCAAGACAAAATTAGACTATTATGAGAAACATATAAGATATAAATATTTAGTTTATTTTATATAATGTAATGCAATGAAGTTAGAGTCAAATCTGTGGAAAATAATAATTATATTTAAATGCAAATGTCTGTAGATTAAATAATTGAAGAAAGGTATAGGACAATAAGAGTAAAATAACTTCATTCTGAGCATTTTTGCTATAAAGTTAAAAATAACGGAGATACTTCGATGTTTCAATTTGAATACCGCACTCTGTACATATAAGTAATACAATATTGTAGTTAATTATTTTTAAAATTATAAAAAATTTTTTATTTTATCATACAGATCCACTTTGAATGAAAGAAGTGGAGAATATGTTGGAAAACTAGTAACTGCAGGTATTGGAATACAACCAACGATATGGGTGTGTCACTCAATGGGCGGTTTATTAGTAAAAAGGATGCTAGTTAATGGTTAGTTAATTTCATAGTCTTTGATTATTATTATTGTTTATTACATAGTTTTGCTTACATAGTAATTGATTTATTTTGTATTATTACTTTCTTCATACAGAATGGAAAAATGGCGATAAAAATAATATATGCAAAAATACTCGTGGCATAATATTTTATAGTACACCCCATCGAGGCTCCCGTGTGGCAGTTTTAAAGCAAGCGACACAGATGTTAGTATGGCCATCGGTGGAAGTGCAGGAACTTCGTGAAGGTTCGTATAAATTCTGTATATTATATTACTCAAAATTTGATTATAGATATATTTTGTGAAAATATTATTCCTTTTAGAATCACCGCATTTACTACAACTGCACGAAGAATTTCTGGATATGTTGAAGGAATATCCCATAGAAATTGTTAGTTTTAGTGAAACTAAACCTACGCTTGTGACTGCACTAAAAGTTCCGTTTCAATTCGTTAGCCCTAGTTCTGCAGGTACGAATTGAAAGAGAATGGTTTATAATTAGACTGTTAATCTTTATATAAATTTTCATTTTCCTAGATTATTTTATAAATCTGAAAATAAGGAAAAATTAAATGTTTCTTTATCATACGAATGAAGTAGAAATATCACTTGTATTTGCTAATGTTAATGTTTTACTTTACTTTAAAAATTGGCATATGATCAAAGTGCAAAAATATTCTCAGTTTATTTAAAACGTGATCGTCACATTAGTAAATACGAACCTTTGGGTTTACTTTTAGATCCTGGCATCGGGGAATTTTATGAAATTGCTCAAGATCATTTATCTATATGTAAACCAGCAAGCAGGTAATAATTTATTTGCATTTTATTTGTTATACATTAATGAGATTCTGAAAATTTCTAAATTATGTAAATTTGTTTATAGACATTCCTTCTTGTACCAAAAACTTTTGAGTATTCTCAGACGCCATGTAACTCCTCACGAAGAAACAAGAATTTCATTGATTACGGAATTATTGTCCTTGCCAGGCAAGCTATTTTAATTTAATAAATATAATTAGATTTTCTACATAACGTTTATATGTTTCATATGTATTTTATAATTATTTAAAAAAACAGTAGGATAGAGCACAAAAAAAGACACGAAATTTTGCTTTTCTAAAAAATGGCAATAGAATTGATAAAAATAAACTATTTCTAAAATCTAAAATTCTTGTATGTCACTGATCGTTTACTTTTTTTTTGACTAAAATAAATAATCAAACTTTGGTAATAAAATTAGTAAAAATTAGGAAAAGGTATACCTAAACTAATATAACACAAACATTTGTTGTCACCGGATTGCCGCAACAGAACCTGGGCAAGTCTCCGGTACCGGACACTGGATAGTTTTATTTGATTTTTATACGTATAAATTTTCTATCCGGCAACAATCTATCCGGTGTCCAGTCTTCAAAAACCTTGTGAATGTTCTCATACTTTCTTATATATCTCGCGACTGGATATCCGACACCGGCTAATGTTATCCGATACGCATGAAAAGGCTCTATTTCTAATGATTATGGTTAACGTTAACGTTATTATATGGTAACAAACAGTTTTTATTTAATTTTTTTAATTGAATAATAAGTATTAAAAATAGTCCACCAACTCTAATTACTATTGCAGAGAATGTAGTACCTTTAGGTATTATATACTGTTTCTGTGGTTATAGGGACTCTGTAGGAATTTTAGCGCTGTTACATACTATGTATACCTAGGTTTGTTTGGTCTCGTTTACTATATGTATAATTTCATCTGAATGAACTTTTCTCGTTTCCATAGTAATGGTGTAAGTAGTTGTTGAAAAATGGAAGCTGTGTCGAATTATACATTTGTGCCACTGGCACAAAAGAATTACGTAGGAATCAATAATAAAACAATACAGAGCTTACTTTCTAAATGGTAATTGTATCTTATCTTTTAAATACACGTACAGAAATTATTTTTGAAATTGCGTTATTCGTTTTGGAATAGTCAGCAGATATAACAAATTATTGTTTTCATTTTGCAGGGGCATATATGGAAACTTTGTTATTCAACAGTTTTCATTCAATGAATCCTTCCAATCTTATCACAAATATCTCTTGATAGATGTTAGTTATATTATTTATAATAATTACAAATATAATTTGTTATTTATTTATACACTTTTCATATAAATTAATTACAGTTTAATTACTCATAGGCATTCTTTAAAAATAATATTATTGGAAAAGAATTAATAACACTGCAAGGAAAACATTGGGCAAAGCAAGGTAGTATAGAGAAATATTGTTTGTAATAAAATGGTACATATCATTAAGGCATTTTATAATCATTAGGCATAACATCGTCAATTGTTGAGACAAAGCCAGTGCCTTGCTCTGTTTTAAGTATGTCCTTTTTTAATAAATTGAAAGATCCAGAAAATGGAATTGTGTATAAGTCAGGAGCTATTTGTAAAAGATATGATATGGAAATTGATAATTTTCTAGTTTGTGATAATCTCAGAGGAGTAAGAATAATTATTTATTAAGTAGTTAATATTTCAATATTAGTTACTTATTTGCTTTCTAATGTCTATAGATGTTATTAGATGAAGAATGTCCAGAATACAATTTATATACAAAAGATGAGAGAGAGGAGTTCATATTTCGTATTTTTCGAATGCTTGTTCTTGGAGGAGTACTTTGTCAACATGAAGATACATTAGATCCATATTTGGATGCTACTAAAGCTATTTACAAAGATTTAATAAGGTGTTGTAATTTATTTATGAATATTTTTATTTATATACAGCAAGAAACAAAATTAATTGTTTAACAATTTTAGAGTGGAAAAACAAAATAACACAGATCTATCTGTTAACACATTAGTTTTAGAAGTAGTAGCTAAAGATGGCAGAGATCAAGCATATTTTCCATGTAATCCTTTTCACATACAAAATATTGGATTCGTATTAGTGTACAATAATACTCGGGAAATTACAACATTCTTACATCAATATGGAGAATATTGTTTGTCTGGGAAAATATAAAATCACTAAAAATATGATGTATTAGAAGAGATTGGTTTGTCAATAAAATTAATATATTGTACAAACATTGAAATTATGAATTTGTTGTATTA